TTTTAAGCCATGAGGTTTGTTTCAGTTCTGTAAATTTTTTTGGACCTAAAAATATCTATAGTGGATGGGGCTCTTACCACATTTACTTTTTAAAAAAAAAACAGATAGGAATAGTTACATCCCATTAGATTCCTGCCATCATCCTTCATGGTTATGAGCAGTGCCCAAAGGACAATTTTTGCACCTTAGATGCAATTGTAGCTTGAGAGAGTACAATGAGAAAGAAACCCTGATTTTAAAATCGAGATTTCTGAAAAAAGGATATAAGGCGGAGGATCTGGATAAACTGATGTGGCAGGTGGGATGCTATGATCGGGAAAATCTTATTAAGGATAGAGAGATGGTTCAGAACAGCTCTGATCCTTTTGGCTTGGCATTTTTTACTACCTTCTCAAGCCAAAATTATGTGGTTAAAAACATCATCATCAGAAACATTGGTCTTTTCTGAAGAATGATCGAATCCTGCATCCAATGTTACCAGAACACCCCACTGTTATTTTCAGTGGTGTGGGTAACCTTAGAAATACATTAGTATGTACCAGACCCACCCACTAGTCCAGTATTTTTGCCACCATGGAGGGTTATCACCTATGTAGTAAGTGTGAGGCATGTTGAATAAATTCGTTAAGAGGAAAGAAAATTACTAATTTTGTGGCTGCACAGACTTGTATAACATATGAGATACAGTTGTTTATTTCATGTTCAACTAAAAATGTTGTTTATATGTTGAGGTTCCCATGTGGTTTGGAATATGTTGGATGCACTACAAGCGCCCTTCATGTATGTCTTGGTGAACACATTGCTAACATAAAAAAAGGGATATAAGGAACATAGTGTATTCAAGCATTATGCTTTAAAACATAATAATAACCCTGGGGGTACTACTTTTATTGCAGTGGAGAAATATGTCCCAGATTGGAGAGGCAGAAATGCTAACAGAACAATCTCTAAAGCTGAAATGACTTGGATTTACCGACTCAAGACCTATACCCTATTGGGTTTAAATATTGAGTGGGATATAAATTGCTTTATTAACACCAGTTGAATTGTATTTCATTATTATTATGATCTCATCTAGGGATATGTTATAGCATGTGTATTGTATTGCATATACCGGTATGTTTTTTAGTCACAGAGGATTGATATTAATTGTATTAATTCTCAATATTTTATTGGGTGTCATTCTATTTTATTTTATAAATATTTTAATAAAAATTGTTTACAGTATTCTAAATATTAAGTGGCATTATAGTACACTTAATCATCAGTGGTCACATAATAATGTCAGGACTTTTTGACTATATACACTTTAGAGATTGGGTGGCGCAGTGCTCCACTTATATATCTATAGTTATATACAGTATCAACATTTCTAATTATTATTTTTAGCGCTATTTGGTTTTATATCACTAGATGGCACCACTCTACACCACTATTCTTGGATTGGCTATTTATGAGTGGGTGTTTTATTAGCTCCCAAGTGTGTTATCACCTTCCCCTGAAGCTTGGAACCAATGGTGTCAATCCTCTGGGGCTCCAGTTCCTATTTAAAGAGCGTGGTGGGGTGTGTGTGCGTGCCCCGATGACATAATTTATGACAAAACACGTAGGACAGAACCACGCTACCACGCATGTGCGACTGGCTGGTGACCATCTTGGATGCTGGGAGATCTGATCTTAGTGCTGTTACACGCTGATATATGTCTTTCATCATGTGATTGTATTTTTACTACACTAAATTATGTTATTTCAGGGTTTTACACTATGTGGAGAAATCTTTTATTACATGTTTAACGCCATGAGTTCTGCTCTTATACAACTTGCTTGGAGCAGTTGGAGTCACCACATATAGGGATCGACTTGGGAGAATTACCAATCTCTCTTTTTTGGGTGTCCAGAGGAAGATTCCCTTCGTCCATTTCACTGGAGGTCTTTTAAAAAAAGCTTTAAAACCACTCTTAATAGGAAGTCACACACTTTCTGGTAAGCCTTGCATGCAAGTGGTTTGTGTCACATTGGTTATCCTCGGAAGCCTTCCTATCTCATCACGGCATTTGGGGACTGTTCTGCTTTGATTTCATCATTTGACATTTCACTTATGAACATTTTTTAATCACTTTTGAACTTTATTTTTTTTTATAATGTTTAAGTGCTGCACTTTATTTTTACACTGTTTTTATCACTAGTAGATTTTCTAAAGTATATTTTGTGCAAAAGACAATTCAAACAGTGTTGACTTCAAATGCCCAGTTTGGTGTGTGGTACATTTTTGTTGTCAATTTTCCCTGATTGGACTTTTGATTCAAACAATAATTTGTAAGTTGATGTGCAACCTACAGTATTTTTTTTTGCCGCATACAGCTTTATGCTTCTATCAGGTTATGCTTGATAATGCTATTATTTAAGTTATTTTCCAAAACATTTTAAAATAGCTATCCATTTACTTTGTGTGTTACAGGATCTGTGTTTCAGATTCATCTGTTCTTTCATGACACACATGAGACAGCTATCCCTGGAATAAAGAAACAGAAAAAAAATAAATAAAATAAAGAGGACTGCAAGTATTCCACTGTATATGTGATTTAATGCTTGACATCAATGAAGGCAATTTGGCTTTTATTGATTCCCTTGTTAAACTGATACAACCTCCCTTCTATATTCTTCTTCCTTTTTTTCTGCTGTAATTTACTGGAGCATTAAAAAGCAGGGTAAGCCCATTTATAGCCTTCTTACTGCTACCCACAGGGTGCCATAAATGCACAAACTGGATATAATTGAAGTGCATATTAACTTACCTTCTGGTATATAGAGAGAACATAAGCATCCTGTTAATGTACATTGTGCTGAATCTCTTAACTTGGGGGCTGAGAATTAGTATGTAAAAGTAATTTGGTAAGCACCTGGGACAACTGTAAGCTTCATTTCCTGCAACACAAAATATGATTAAAAAGAGAATATATTATTATCACGGGGGCCATTAAAAATGTGTAGACATAATTCTGTGGTGCTAAATGAAAATTGAAAGTTGTGTATCCGTGTTAAAGTTCCTGCATCTTAACTGTCGCTGAATACAGTTCACTGGATATTTAATTGAATTATTTGCTTTGTCAAACAATGGCTTAAGGAATAATGTTTAGATTTGTGCAGCTGGTGTTTTTGATAATATAATACCAGAGATATGCACTGAATGTAATGCAATGTGTAGTTTTATAACACTGTATAATCATAGATGCATGAAATCAAAATTAGTAGATCAATGAAAAAATGTAATGACTGTTTTTCTGCAGAATATAAATTCTTCAACACAAAACTTATTGTATTTATGTTGTACTTTGTCTAAAAAATTTACTACTTACCAAATTTTTATTTTTTTTCCTCTTGTCCTTTTAGACTATAATCCTACAAAAGGTCATTTACTGATCTGACAAAACGTAAGCGTGTATTTCCTACAATGGTTTGCTGTAACATGCAGTACAGATGTAGCATGAATTGTTGCTCTCTAGTGAGACATAAGAAGTTCCACACTCAGCTGTTTTTCACTTTGGCACATGCTTAAAGGGTGATTGGCAAACACACCAGCAGATGCATAAATTCTATCCAAAATGAAAATCTGTGTTGTTACGTAAAGAAAGGGTTTTTTTTCTCCTATTTTATAAATAATATTTCAAATGTGTAAACACAATCACAAATGTCTTTGCTTTTGCAAGCACTATACTTCTTAAAGCATTCATTATTTAGGATTTTATTTAGGTAGAGTAATTACAGGTGCCAACATGTGCCATAATCCTTCTTTTTGTAAGAGTGAGTTATCAGGGACAGCAATTCATAGTTGAATCAAAGAGGTTTACTAGCAAATCCAATGAATCAGTCCAGAAAATCTATGTATGGTATGTGTCGAATTCCAATGGTTACAGTCCACATTTCTTTACACTATTGTTGTTTAGAAAGATGTATTGTGCTTTGCATCAGCCATGCATGGCCATTGAAGTTGGCCAAGTCTGGCTCTACAGTCAGTCCTGTTTACTAAAAGAAAGAACAACATGGAAGATTCAATAGCTCACAGCATCCATTCAGAAAAAAAAAAATGTTTCCTTGTCTTGACTTCAAATAAATGAAAGAGGAAACAGGTTAAATGGCAGAATATATAGAATGTCAGTATTATTATTGCCCATTGCACTTCTAATCAATAATGAATTAATCACAAAAAAATACTTTAGCCTGCAGTATAATATTAAAGATGCTAAAACAGTATACTATGCCATTCTACAATAAATACTATGGTTTAGATACAATGAGACTGATTTACTAAAGGAGTTAGGAATCTTCACACAATAAATTGTGCCAATATTTACTTCAATTATTCAATGGAGTTAAAAGCAAAAGCCTTTCCTATTTCATCTGCTCATTATTGGGTATTCAAAGTAAACAGTAATTTGCTTATCACTCAATTTATTTTTTGATGATGTTCAACTCCTTTAATAAATCAGCCTAAATATTTTTGTTTGCAAATTGCCTATATGTTAGGTTTCCACTTGCTCTATATCAAAGTCTACTCTCTCAATGCCTTTCCTTTTCACATGTTCCTTTTGATGGCATGCCACGTGATCACAGTTTTAGTTTTTCTGCTTCCATGTAAGCCAGCTGTGCTGACTCTACCTTATTAGCTTAGTATAATCAATACACATGAGAAATAATGTTCCATCTGTAAATAATGTAGCTAATTGCAAAATTATTATGTTGTACTGTAATGTCAACAATTACAACACAGAAAATAATTTTATAAACTGCAGTGAATAGTGAGAGTGACACATCACATCACAATGAACAGTTTGTGTGGCTTATAGGGGTATGGTTAACCACCTTCCGCCCGCCATATAGTACAATGACGGCCGCAAAGTGGTTCTCTCTTTCTGATAGGACGTCATATGACGTCCTTCCATTCTCACCGCGCATGCGCGGCTCAGGGAGCGCGCAGCGCGGCGATCGCCGATGAGCTGTGTCCCTCGGACACCACGGATCACGGAAAGAGCCGAAGATGTCGGCTCGGTCATGTGATCAGCTGTGTCCAATCACAGCTGATCACATGTAAACACGGAAATGCTGGTTATCGGCATTTCTCTCCTCTCGAGCTGTCATGCTGACAGCTCATGAAGAGAGGAGAACTGGTAATCGGCTTTCCGCGTAGGGGACATGTACACTGATCATCAGGGCACTGATGATCGGTGTGCCCTGATGATCAGTGTGGCCCCAGAAGTGCCACCTGTCAATGTCCATCAGTGCCAGCAGTCAGTGCTCATCAGTGCCACATGCCAGTACCCATCAGTGCCACATCAATGCCACATATCAGTGCATACCAGTGCACATCAATGCCACATATCAGTGCCCATCTGAGCTGCCTTTTAATGTCACCCATCAGTGCCAGTCAGTGCCACCTATCAATGCCAATCAGTGCCACCTATCAGTGCCAGTCAGTGTTGCCTATCAGTGCACATCAGTGCCGCCTATCAGTGCCAGTCAGTGCCGCCTATCAGTGCCAGTCAGTGCTGCCTAACAGTGCCTGTCAGTGCCGCCTATCAGTGCCAGTCAGTGCCGCCTATCAGTGCCAGTCAATGCCGCCTAACAGTGCCAGTCAGTGCCGCCTATCAGTGCCAGTCAGTGCCACCTATCAGTGCCACCTATCAGTGACATATATCAGTGTCATATATCAGTGCTGCCTTTCAGTGCCCATCAGTGATGCCTGTCAATGCCCATCATTGCAACCTACCAGTGCCTCCTCATCAGTGCCCATCAGTGCCACCTATCAGTGTCCATCAGTGCAGTCTATCAGTGCCCATCAGTGCAGCCTCATTAGCGCACATCAGTGAAGGAGAAAACTCACTTATTTACAAAATTGTATAACAAAAACTAAGAAAAAACTGTTTTTTTTCCAAATTTTCAGTGGTTTTTGGTTTGTTTAAGAAAAAATAAAAATCCCAGAGGTCATTAAATACCACCAAAAGAAAGCTCTATCTGTCTCAAAAAAATGATAAAAATGTCATATGGGTACAGTGCTGCATGACCGCGCAATTGTCATTCAAAATGTGACATTGCTGAAAGATGGAAATTGGCCTGGGCAGGAAGGGGGTATAAGTGCCCTGTAGGCTAGTGGTGGTTAAAGAAAAAAAAAAAACAGCCTACTTGATGTATAAACTGCATACATATGCCACAGTGCTTTTACCCCCCAAATTACTCACAGAAACACTTTGTTAACTTCAAAAGCCTGAAAGAACATGTTTTATAAAAGTAAATTATATTATTATGCATGGTTCCCGGCACAAAGAATATAGACAGAATATGTACTATCTGTCAGATCTGAAAGCACCTTGGCCATGCGGGGCTCCGCCCACACAGCCACGTCACTCATTCACTGAGTTCTGTGAATGAGGGCCTACAAGTCCCAGCAGCCTTTGCGTCTGTCGGCTTGTAGTTTTCAGTGAGCTACCACAATGCTGTGGAGCGTGGTAGTTCATTGAAGCTTCCTGTCAGAATATCTGCTTGACCGTACATTCCGTATGGCAAGGAGATATTCTTACAGGTCTGCAGGAGACCCGCATGGCATCAGCGATCTACTGATCCTTGGTGTAATGCTTTCTAGGCTCCTTTGGACAAAAATATATTTTATGCTAATTTTTTAACTGCAAAAAAATGTGCATTTATTATTTTTGTCCAAAAGGCGAACTTATCTTTTAACAAACGATCAATATAACACATCAAAAAGGTCAATATTAGTGTACTACAAAACACCTCCCCCTACTCAGAGTGATATATAAAACTTAAATAGTGCTGTGCCACCAATCCTACTCATATTAGTAAAATCAAGCTGCCAAAAAACCAAAACAATGCATCAAAAATGTTCCAATAATTAGTGTACAACAATACACCTCCCCCTACACAAGATGATATGACTGTGATAATGTGTATATCACAACCTCTGTGCATCAAATATATAAACCAGGTGTGTATAAAGAAATATTAAATCAATGTCCAACAAGTATGAACCAGTCCTGTTTGACAGATGAGTGGTATTCCAGTGCTACAAACACCTCCCATGCCCATAGAGAGGATGTTGGTGACAGTGGTCTGCGTGATACCAAATTATAACAATCAAGTGATCAATCTGTGTTGACACTCATGCACCCCCTCCAAAACCGTACTCACTGCAGAGAGTTTACCTCCTGTGTTTAGGTAGGTCAAATGTGCTTTTTGGGTGAGATCTTCCTACTCCTCAGCCTTTCACCATCATATAAAAGACCATCCATTTTATTGGATTCCTTATAGTGATGCCTGTCCACTCTCTCCTCCTCCACCCAGGTCATGCAGTGAAAATGATCAAAAGGGAAACTTCCATAGCATTATGCCATTTATTAAAAGAAATTATACATAAATAATGCACTTACAGGTACATGTATATTAGGTGCTTTAAGAGGAATGTGTACCAGGACGCCACCTGCGTTCCTCAGCCCAGCTACTGCAAACCAGAAGTGACCCAATCAGCCCTGCACCCATTTGTTCTATGTTCTGTGCACTGTGGAAGACCAGATATAGTGAATGCAGGGTCCTGGGTTTAGTAACACCTTAACCACTTCAATACCAGTCACTTTTACACCCTTCCTGCCTAGGCCAATTTTCAGGTTTAACCATTAGCCGCCCGACCTATAGCTGTTTGGCGGCCGCAAAAATGCTTTAGCTTTCTGGGATGTACGCCATTTGGCGTCCTCCCACACATGCGCACTTCACGCGGTTGCAGAGCCGCGCAGCGGCGCGATCTGTCACCGGCCATGTAGCTCAGACATGGCCGATGACAGATCTGAGTACCGGCCCCGTTGCCGGTACCATGTGACCTGCTGTGACCAATCACAGCAGGTCACATGACAGTTGTATACAATGGATGGCTTCATTCATGCCATCCATTGTATACTAGTGCCTAGCTGTGAATGGTCACAGCAGGTCACATGCACATGGTTGTGATTAGCTGTGGCCAAATCACAGCTAATCACAAAAAAAAAAAAAAAACCTGAATGAATCGATGTCATTCAGGTAAATGCTTGCTTATAGCAAAGTAATTCTTTGCTATAAGCAAATTGTGTAAAAAAAATATATATATATACTGATTGCTTCCCCAAAGTAGTACATTGTACTACTTTGGTCATAGTAATATGTGAAAAAAAAATCTTAAAAAAATTTAAAAAAGTCATAAAAAATTAAAAATAATTAAAAAATATATATATATATATTTTTTTTTTTCATACTGTCACCAGTCAGTGTCCCTGTTCACCGCCATGACAGTAATATGATGACGCAGTACTGCACTGGTGACAGTATGTAAAAAAAAAATAGTGAAAATCATTTTTTTAATTTTTTCATTTTCTGAAAAATTATGACAAAAAAAATACAAGTTCTAAAAACTCGCCATGCCTCTTTATGAAGTACGTCGGACTGTCTACTCTGCAAAAAGGGGTCATTTGGGGATATCTGTACTATTCTGACATTCTTGGACCTCAAGAAATTAGATTGGCTGTCAGTACTTCAGGATTGATCAATTTTTAGATCTATACTATAGTTTGTGAACTCTGTAACTTTCCTACAAACTAAATAATACATCCTAATTTGGGTTATTTTCACCAAAGACATGTAGCAGAATACATCTTGGCCTAAATTTATGAAGAACAATTATTTATTTGTAAACTTTTATAACAGAAACAAAGAAAAACATGTATTTTTTTCAAATTTTTTGTTTTTTTGTTAATTTAGCAAAAAATAAAAACACCAGTGGTGATTAAATACCACCAAAAGAAAGCTCTAGTTGTGTGAAGAAAATGATAAAATTTTAGTTTGGGTACAATGTTGTATGACCGCACAATTGTCATTCAAAGTGTGAGAGCGCTGAAACGTGAAAAATGGCCTGGGCAGGAAGGTGTAAAATTGCCCGGTATTGAAATGGTTAGGAGCCCTCACACTTTGAATAACAAATTGCGCAATCATGCAACACTGTACCGAAACTAAAAATGCTATCATTTTGTTCACACAACTAGAGCTTTCTTTTGGTGGTTTTTAATCACCACTGGAGTTTTTAGTTTTTACTAAATGAACAAAAAAAGACCAAAAATGTAGAAAAAAAAAACAAGTTTCTTTGTTTCTGTTCTAAAAGTTTTGCAAATAAATAAATATTCTTCATAAATTTAGGCCAAGATGTATTCTGCTACATTTCTTTGGTGAAAATAACCTAAAATGGGTATTTATTATTTAGTCTGTAGGAAAGTTATAGAGTTCACAAACTATGGGATATATCTGAAAATTGATCAATCCTGAAGTACTGACAGCCAATCTAATTTCTTGAGGCCCAAAAAATGTCAGAACAGTACAGATATCCTCCCAAATGACCCCTTTTTGCAAAGTAGACAGTCCGATGTATTTCATAAGAGGCATGGCATGAAGTTGTAATTTTTTTGTAATAATTTTTCAGAAAATGAAGAAATTAAAAAAAATTATTTTCACAATTTTTTTTACATACTGTCACCAATGCAGTACAGCATCATCATAAAACTGGTGTGGCAGTGATTAGGGACACTGACTGGTGACAGTACGGAAAAAAAAATTGATAATTGTTTTTTATTTTTTTTTATTTTTATTAATTTTTTTTTTTTTTTTTTTAAGATTTTTTTTTCATATTACACTATGACTAGAGATGAGCGAATTATTCAAAAATTCGATTCGGCTGATTCGCCGAATTTGCTGGAGAAATTCGATTCGATGCGAATTTATTCGCTGCGAATTTAACTAATTAAAAGGGTTTCTAGGCTTCAGAGAGCCTTTATATTAGTGCAGAACACTGTACCTTTAATTTAAATGCCCTTGGAGTCTGCTGGGGAAGAGAAATAATACTGTCAGTCAGTATGACATGCAGATGAGTGCCGTCGATCTTAGAATCACCGCACACTTCACTCATTTGGGCAGTCATGGGGCACGACGAAGAAGAAGAAGAAGAAGAAGAATGAAAAGAAGAAGAAGAAGAATAAAAAGAAGAAGAAGAAGAATGAAAAGAAGAATGAAAAGAAGAAGAAGAATGAATGAAAAGAAGAAGAAGAAGAATGAAAAGAAGAATGAAAAGAAGAAGAAGAAGAATGAAAAGAAGAAGAAGAACGAAAAGAAGAATGAAAAGAAGAATGAGAAGAATGAAAAGAAGAAGAAGAATGAAAAGAAGAATGAAAAGAAGAAGAATGAAAAGAAGAAGAAGAATGAAAAGAAGAATGAGAAGAATGAAAAGAAGAATGAAAAGAAGAAGAAGAATGAAAAGAAGAATGAGAAGAAGAATGAAAAGAAGAATGAGAAGAAGAATGAGAAGAATGAAAAGAAGAATGAGAAGAATGAAAAGAAGAAGAAGAAGAATGAAAAGAAGAAGAAGAATGAAAAGAAGAATAAAAAGAAGAAGAAGAAGAATGAAAAGAAGAAGAAGAAGAATGAAAAGAAGAATGAAAAGAAGAAGAAGAATGAAAAGAAGAAGAAGAAGAAGAATGAAAAGAAGAATGAAAAGAAGAATGAACTATATTACTATATCAGTCTCTAATGGATGCTGGAGAGTTAAACCCCCTAACACCTGCTGTGCCCATTGTGAGGGGTTCCACCATCCCTGTGCTGAGGTTCTGGGTATGCACACCTGCTGTGCCCATTATGAGGGGTTCCCACCATCCCTGTGCTGAGGTTCCAGGTCTGCACACCT